GTTTGCCCGCGTTACCAGAAGCGCGGAGTAGTGAAAAACGCCCGCTTATCATGACCGTGTTCCAGGACAATATCCTGCCACTCAACCCCTTTCTCTCTCTCCGGTTATTTTCGACGTTTTACCATTTCTCTCCTTGTCGTATCCCAGCCGGTTTTCGAGAGGGATACAAATTCTTGTTTTCCGAACAAAAATTTCCATTTCCTCTTAACAAAGACAATCATAGAATGGTCGTTTGAGATTAAAAGTGACATAAAGTATAATGGAATAGAATAAATATGTTGTAGCATCTTATATTTAGGTGCAAATGAAGCATTTGCAGGTGTCTGAAATTTTGTGAACGTCATGTTTAAAATGAAACTGCTAAGAGAGCTGAGCACGAAGATATCCTTGGTTTCAAAATTGAACAATTATTAATGGAAATATGACAAAATGATCCTCTCTGCTAAAATACATAATGTGTTTAAATGGAGAATGCCGCCAGATGAAGTCACATTTTCTCACTTTTAAATCTATTTTGCTACGATTTCTTGCATTAGAAAAAAATTATGAAAAATACTCAGTCAAGTCAAGTAACCCTCCAGCAATAGAATTTTTGTGTGCAAATTGTCCTTCGCTTAATAATATTGAAGACCTCTCTTCTTTGCGACTTCAGGTCAATTTGCGTCCGAACTTGAACTCAGGCTTTAACCCGAGCTGGAACTTGAACTCGAAGAGGATGACATCACAACGGAACCATTGTCACTCTTCTTGCTAAACACCATCATCGTCATATTGTCTCCATGTGCTGATGCATTTGCTCCGTCCACACCGATTGAGGCAGGCGCAGCGGCACTTGGCTGGCCGATGTAGATTGTCAGGGCGAGCATTGCGAAAGCCAGGAAAATCGCACGGTTGGGAACGATCCACATTTTGGTCTCTCTTGATCTGGGAGAATGAAAGAGCATTACGAAAGTATTCTTGGAAAAAGTACAAATCGACGGTAGGACTGCAAAAATGCGTAACTCGATCGTGGTGTTTCGAATTCGCTGCTCCTCTGTTTCATTTTTCAAAAAGAGACCAAACCAATAGAATGGCTTGAAATTTTCACAAAGTGTTCTTCACATAGAGAGGAAAAATCATCGAAATTTTCAAGGAATAACGCCTAATAATTCCCCACGTAGAAAATGAAGTATGGCCAGAAGTCTGCAACGCCGTCGAGAAACGCATCTATGCAGTTTCACCGTCGCTGTGTAATCTACCCCGGGGAAACTGACCTTTAGCCGGGAGCGAGGGATTTTTCTCGAGTTGGGTTGAAAAATCGGATTTCGCGCGACAACTTGCCGGCAAATCCTTTAAAGTGCTCCAAAATGTAAATTGCGGGTGGTTTGGCTCATTTCTACAAGCTGATTATTGAAATTGATGGACAAAGTAGACAAAGGGAGAATGGAGCTATATCCTACCGATATCGTATCGTTGCAACGGGAGGTACAGACTCAGGGACTAGGGAACTAGATGTGAGGTATCTTGTGGGTTAATGTTAGTTTAAGTCTACTACTGACCTCTTTCGTCCATCGCAACCACCCGCTCCCTCCAATGGGATCGCCCAATTTTCTCGAATGGGTCTGCTTTGTCTATAGCAATGTCTATAAATTTCAATAATCAGCCCGCTGTGGTAACAGAAGGCATGAAGTTTTGCCATTGTCGGCAATTGAGTGCCCTGTTAACATGGCGGCTTATATCGACGGTGAAAGTACGCAACCACGTAACTCGGTTTGTAACGTTTCAGATTTCCTTTCATACTTTATTTTTTTAAGGGAAAAGTATTCAACGACAATTTTTGAAAATTTCCGTGATTTTTCTTCTCGAAGCGAAGAAAATTCTGCGAAAATTTCAAGGTATGATGTTGATTTGTCTCTTTTAAAGAAGATTTATGACCACCGCAAACGGAACACGCAGGAATGGCGGACTTTCACCATTGATATGCCTTGGTTTACTCGAACCTAGACAATCGTATACTAAAGTCACTTTACTCAGGAATGGTTAGATTTTTAAACTATCTCAAGAACTGTAAGCATTAATAAAAACGCCGGGAAGGGTGATTAGCAGCTTATTCTCAATTTTCTAAAAGTATCAAGAGTTTTTGATGTCAACTTTAACAAAACACTGCGGAGGGACTTATAAAAACTGAGAAATGTAACTGCGTTTAATTTACTCACCAAATGATGTGAAAGCACAAGGGGACACTAAGCTAGCGGAACAAAGATCCAACGGTTTTTATATCGTAGCTATGTACATTCTTGCAAAATTTCCTGCTTTTTTAAAGTCATTTTACATAAGAAAACGTTAAAATGTGGAGGTCAGTGGACTTCGCTCCTCAGATTTCCTCAGTCGAGAAAATTGCAGCAGCTGTAAAATATGTCAGTGTAGTTTAAAGATGGGAGAGTCATTGAAACACCAAATTTAAACAATTGAATTGAAACAATCTGAAGCCTTCTGTTTTCAAAAAGCTCATCTCACCTACTTAGTATTTTTAAGTTCATTCATTGGTGAGGAAAAAGCTCTGAAATAAACAAATCCCTCGGATCTTATCATGATGGTCTAGAACGTGACTGCATTGTGTAGAGAGTCAACTCATTGTGTGCGCCAACAAATGAAAATAGGTTTGTAAGCAAGGTTAACATTTCAGCTCAGAAAAGCTAACCAAGGATGAAATTTCGAACAAAGAAAGTATTTTTACGACTTCATTTGTTATCAAGGAGGAAAAAATCTCAAGGTTCTGGTAAATTACTAGTGTAATGTACTATACATATCGATGGTCAAAGTGCAAAGCAACGTATCTACAGTGCGATACTTCACAAATTATGCTTCATAGCTTAATTCATACAGAATATTGATGGTGAAACTACAAGGATGCGTATCTCGATTTGCGGCGTTGTAGACTTCCTGTCATAGTTTATTTTCTACATGGAAAACTACCGAATATCACTTTTTTAAAATTTCAGTGATTCGTCTTCTTTTCCGTAAAAAATATTCTGTAAAATCTTCAGGCCATGATGTTGGTTCTGTCTCCCTTTAAAAAATAAAATGGGATCGGAGATTTTAAACACCTCAACTGCGATACACATTCTTGCAGTTTCACCATCGATATTCTGTATGAATTTCAAGCTATTAAATCGGCTTTTTTATGGATAAATAAAATATATTCCAGGTCTTAGACATTTTAAAGCACATTTCTTCCATCTTAAGGTTTGTCAGAATCGTATAATCTTTTCTTCCATGGATATTTTGGCAGTTACAAATAATTGCATTCCACCCTTAGAAGCTATTTTTGGAGTTAACCAGTTGAATTTTGCTCAAGTTTTGTAAAAATTGTTCTTGTTACGATGTTTCCATGCTACTAGTTTGAAGCACCATTACAAATAAGACAAACGCAAACGAACTTAATACGGAAATAAAGCGAGGGAAAGGATGCTTGTTAACGACGGCGCAGAGATACAACTATTCGTACTCGATGGACGTCCGTGCTGCATCTGAAAAATTGAAGGCGCCATGAGGCGAAGCGTGAGCTCTCAATGCTCTACTATTTGCTGTCAATGAGGTGTCGCTCAGATTCGAGAGAAAAGTTTAAAAAAAGGCCCGAACACACCTCTCCTACCTTTGGCATGTGACTCACGTAGTGCTTGAAGCACCATTGCGAATAAAACAAACACAAAATGGAAATAAAGCTAGGAAAAGGATGCGCGTTTACGACGGCGCAGAGATACAACTATTCGTACTTGATGGACGTCCGTGCTGCATCTGAGAAATTGAAGGCGCGATGACGCGAAGCGTGAGCTCTCAATGCGCTCTGCTGTATGCTGTCAATGAGGTGTCGCTCAGATTCGGGGGAAAAAAAAGAGACCCGAATACGTCTTTGTTGTCTTCGGCTGTGTTGATACTTGTCCTTTTTTCTTTTTTCAGGTTCTTGTCTGATTCTTTTTTAGGGTGGATTTGCAGACCCACGTCTTAAAGTCGTGTGAACCGCAGCACTGGCTCTAGTCTAATGGAAAAAATGGTGCTTGGATGCGTCTCAAGGCTTTGATCTTTATGTTTTCTTTATTTTCAGAAGTCTGTCGGTCACTTCAATATGTTCAATTTTGCAATTTTTACTCTGTATGATTATGAGATTATGTAATGAACTTTGAACCTTAAAATAGCCTAAACTTATGCCAAAATATTCTGAGCCCCTCTCCACGTAGGGGATGCCCTACCAGAAAATATCACATTACGCCTCCTTAACTAGCCAAGGGTTTTCGCCCTCAGATGCGAGCCAGTCTCGACCCTGCTTCTATGGTCCATTTCCAGAGCTATAATATCGAACCGATGCATTCAAGGTTTGCATATATTTTATAATATGTTGAAGTTTCCTTAAAGCTCCCTTAAATCACAATCAAAACCATATCGACGGTAAAACCACCTGACCACGTATTTTGTTTGTGGTGTTTAAAAATCCCCACTCCCATTTTATTTTTTCGGCGGAGAACAAATCAATAGCATATTCTTTGATGTTTTCACAGAGTTTTCGTTGCACAAAGAAGAAAATTCATGGAGGGTTTCAAGAATTGACGTTAAGTAGTTTTCTAATTTTAAAAATTATGTATGACAGGAAGTCTGCAACGTCGCAAACCGAGGTATATGGTCTGGTAGTGTACCGTCAATTTGTGGTGTCTTAGGGATGGGAGCTGTTTAAGAGATGAACTACCCTAAATTGGAGGGCTGGCCTCTGGGGCTGGCGCATAGTTTTCGAAGAAAGCTGCTGGTGTGAAAACTACCGAGCGCCAAAAAAGGAGAGTACTCATGCAAACGCACTCGAAGGAAGGTCAAGGCGTGTCTTTTATTAATTGACCCATTTGCTGACCACGGGGCTGGAGCTGAGTGTCGGCGCATGCTGCATGGCTCCGGGGGAGCGGGGAATGGGCTGGAGGCGCGTCGCGGCGCGCGGGCCGGCCGATCCCTACTCACTCCAGTCGAATGTGTGCGTCCTTGACGCGGAGTTGTGCTTTCAGACGACGCCGTTGCCCTGGAAACCGCGCGGGTTTTTCGAAAATGTCGAGCGCTTTTTGTGGATTACACTTCCCGCCTCCTGCAGTTTGACGTTCCTTCCTGGTGAGTCTCATCCCTTCGAATCCGAGAATGTTCCGGCCGGAAAATAAGAGAAATTATAAAAGGAATTTGCGAAACTTGGAAGACTGGAGCTCCTTTGAACAAAAATTGTATTCATAGTCGTTCTTTAAACAGCTCCTCAGAGGCCCAATTTGGTTTAAGTTGTGATTGCGGGAAGTTTGAATTAGCCCTTAGAATAACACCGAGAAAAAGTGAATTTTTGTCAACCTCGAGTAAAATGCAGCAGTGAGACTTTGGAAATTGGATTACAATAATTTGGTACCGCAAAAAGCTCAAAAGATATGAGAAGAAATTCGAAAATTTTGGTATAACCAACCCCTAAACCCTACCTAACCTGCCGGCTACCTTACCTTCCCTAGTGGAGTAGTAAAATCTACCTAAATATTCACGAAACTCGCACCACAATATTATCTTCCGTATTTTGTATATTAGTAGTGGTAAATCATTGTAAATCCTTTTGAGGACCCATTTACATGGTCATACTGTTGAATTGTACACGCGATTTTAAAAAAAAATGTCATTTTTATGATGCTTTGCTAAGGGTCTTCCTAAACCTCCCTAAATCCCACCCTATGTAAACCAAATGGTGCCTTCCGAGAAAAGGAGCTGTTCAAGGAACGATATGCATACAACTCTGGAGTCCGACAGCGGAAAAAAAAGAGAAACCAGGAAGCAGAATCTTCTGAACTTACAAGCCAAAATTATGGGTGAAATTGAAACGGCTGTATTGCATGTGATTTAGTTCTTCAAAAAAACCCTGTAGCCAAAATTACGAATCTTTTTGCCCCTATAACGGTGCAGTATATGGATTTTTGGAAACCTTGCCTTGAATCGAGTTTTGTAAAAAAAAATATTGCTGGTGACTATTACAGGACGATTTCCTTCATCTTTTTAAAATGTTTTTATCCTTTTTCTTGGCGGGGATTTAATTATTTGTGATCGTGTGCGGAAGATGGAGGGTGCACGAAAGAAAATTTTTGGGGAAGGGATACTTGAAAAGTTGGATACAAAATTTTAGTCAGAGCTTTTGATGGAAAACACTCTTTCGGTTGCTTCCAACTTTTCTCGCTTGATAGCAGAAAATTCACAAGAAATATGAACATAGAGGCTTTCTCGTTATTTTAATATAAAAATTATAACTATCGCACAGACAGGGCAATGCTGCCGTGCTAAGGAATAACGCCGTATGAACTTTCAGGCGTTGCCAAACTTCTTGTGACAAATCGCTAATTTTCAGGAAAGTTTGTGAATACTTTTCTTCCAACCTCACAGGTAATTATGTTCAGAGTATGTCCTGAATTTTCTGTAAATTTTAAGGAAGAGTATTCATAACTTTCCTAAAAAATAAACTTTTCTTCAGAGGAAATTTGGCAACTCTCGAATGTTCATACGGCGTTCTTCCTTAGCACGGCAGAATGGAGATTTCCGGTTATGGTTCTAGACGCTTCATATATCCCCACGGAAAAACAGCGAAAACCCTGATGCCGCTGCTAATGAGTTTCTCTTTTATCATAGCATGCACCAAAAATGTATTTCATTCATTGAAAACTACCGTCGACCACTGGAAAAAAACACATTGGATCTAGAGTCCAGACTCTTAAAAACATCGACAAGAAAAAATACTCTTGATTCAATCAGATTTAAGCTTAAATCAAGAACCAAGCCTTTTAATTTTAGCGGATTTCCCTTTGATTTAAGCTTAAATCTGATTGAATCGAGAGTCCTTTTTCTTGCCAATGTCTTCAAGAGTCTGGACTCTAGATCTAATGTGTTTTTTTCCAGTGACCGATCAGGGGGTTACCCCGTTTTTTGCACTTTTCCCCTCGGAGAAAGTCGTTTCTGCACTGAACGAGTGAACGAGTCAATGGTAATGTGCACAAATGGAGGCGTTATCACCATGTTCTCGTGACGGACAAGAGGTCGTCAGTGCTGTAACACGATGCATCCACTTCCATAATTGCGAACAGTTTGCACGTGGAAATGAGCTCGCAGAGACGAGGAAAAGCTGAAAATCCCGTGCAGGAGTCCGATAAAGGCGGCAGGGCGTCGCGTCGCGTCGTCGCCGTACGTTTTTGTGGATCGTAAACGCGGAAACGTGGGCGCGGACTATTAACAGCGAATAAAATGCAGAATGGTTGACGAATAACATTACTCGGTGCGGCTTTTAAGTCGGCGCGGCCTCGTTTCGGCGGCGTTTAAGTCCGGGAATTAAAAGCTTTAAAAGTCGCTTTTGGAGTACTCTGCCGTGCTAAGGAAGAACGACGTATGGATATTCGAGAATTGCCTAATTTCCTCCACTAAAATGTTAATTTTTGATATGCCAAAGGAAGGGCGATTTTAAAGTTAAAATATTGAAAAACAACTGATTGTTGAAATTGATAGACAAAGCGATAGACAAAGAGGACTTAATGAGTAAGGAGCGATCATTGGTTAATTTGGGTGAATCTTATAGACTAAGGGAGAAAATGATGGACTAACTAAAGGGTCTCTCGTGAGTTGCCGTTAGTTAGTCTATTGCCTTCCCCCTTTGTCCATTGCAACCAATAGCTTCCACCAATAGAATCCCTCCATATCCTTTTTTGTCTATAGCTTTGTCTATCAATTTCAATATTCAGCCCGTAGGAGAGTTATGAATATTTTCTCTTGCAATTTTCAAGTAATTTAGATCCGATTGCGAATAAAATACTCCGAAAAATCGGAAGAAAAATATGTGCAGATTCCCCTGAAAAATAATCTTTTATCAAAGGAAATTTGGCAACATCTGAAGGCTCATATGGCGTTCTTCCTTAGTACGGTAGTATGCCTCCCTCGTTTGTTAACCCCAGCCTAGCGTTGCGACTCGTCCTCCGGTCATAGGGGATCCAGAAAGTTGGCAACAGTGTATTTTCTCCATTTCAACCTATAAAAATGTATCGATTCTCGAGGGGGTTAGATGTCCCCCCCTCCCCGAAAAGAATCGATTATTCAACACTGGTTCAAATGAGGTTCGGCCAGGGTTGCCATTCTGCTAGAGCAGCATCTGTACTTCCTTCAGCGTAGGAATTTATTAAAGTGTTTTCAAGGGGAAAGTGAGCTAATCAAAGGCCGACAGTCAAGTTGACGTATACAGGCGATGCTCGAAGCCGAGTTCAGTCAATCTGCAAACGCTGTTCCCCTGCCAGGCTACTTCATCAGTGCCCGCCGGAAATATCTTTTCTAACGGGTCCCATTTTTGGATTTCAATAACGAGGTTTCTTTCCAATTAAGAGGAAAGGGGGATTTGAAAAATGCATAGAAGCTTAGTTCACTCCGTGCTTCCAGAAATTGGGGTAACTCTGACACATTCTCAAAACTTTTGGAGTCGGTGAGAGGGATGACCAGTGGCATAGCCAGAAAGTTGGTATGCAGAGGGTAGGTCCATAGTCAAAACATTTCGAAGGAGGATTTTAAAATTAAAATATTGGAAAACAACCTTTTCTTGCTTTCATTTTTGGGCCTTTGAGGTGGTGATGGAGGAGGGGTGGGGGTTCAAGTCCCCTGGAACATTCCCTTTCCTGTCTTCGCCACTCAGAGTGGTACTAATGGATTTTTGTTTTGTCTTTTTCACTATTTTTTAATTTTATTCTTTGGGTTTTACATAATTTTGGGTTTGAAGTCTTTTTATATGTGCTTTAAAACTGATGAGATCTCTTAATATACAGCTCTCGGAGTTACATAGCTCCAATTTGCTATCCCCGACGATATCCTCATGGCCAGTGGCGTGGCGTGAATTGCGATATATCGATTGTTATGCCATTTAAACCTATGAAAAAAGATCGATTATCAGGGTGTTCGCAGCGAACACCTGAGTAATCGATTCTTAACCATAGTTTCAAATGGCGAGGTATCGATAATCGATTATTCACGCCACGCTACTGCCTCATGCCAGCTTTTGAATTTTCGTGAATCACATTACGTAGCCTCTCACAATTCTGTCTAAACTCGACGTTTCGAGCAAAAATTATTTTTCTCCGAGACAATGTCACGAGACGCTTGAAAATGAAAAGCATCCCCATAAAGGGTAGGCGTTGGGGGCTGATGAGAAAATGGGTCAGATCATCAAGGTATATGAGTAGCGAGAGTGGGAGCAGGACGGGGAATGGAGCAATAAATGCCACGAAATAGCAGTCTAATAAACGGCGGCTGCCAGAGAATTTTAATTCGTGACATTACTAATCTGTCGCGGTGCTTGCCCTCATGCTAGCGCAATTCCCGGTCCCTTCCGTTCCCGCCGAGACCGTATACCTCCTTGCCAGTTCACCAGCGAGATCCTTTCTCCTTTTACCTCCTTTTACCTCCTTTACCCCCTTCACCCCCTTTACTCCCTTTACCCCCTTTACCCCCTTCACCCCCTTTACCCCCTTTACCCCCTTTACCATATTTACCCCCTTTACCCTCTTTATCCCATCATCTTCTCTATGTCCTGTCACTTTTTTTATGGTCAGACGTTTGTGCTCCAGGTGATTTTCGTCAATATTCAAAAATCAAAACAAAAAAAGACGAAAAATATCGTGGCTAAATGCCTTTTATTTTCTTTCTTCTTTTTTACTTTTTCATAATTATTTTTATTTGTATGTATGTGTCTGTAGGTCTATCGCATTCAGTACACATATGAGAATCCCCCATTTCAACCAACAGGATCGCTCCATTTTCCCTTTGTCTTTTTTGTCCATAGCTTTGTCTATCAATTTTATTAATCAGCCCACAGGAGTGACTCAAGGTTATCAACAAGTTACAGGCTCGGACTGGCCATAAGGCCAATCTGCCATTGGCAGATACGCCCCCTTGGCGCGCCAAAAACGCGCCCCTCTGACAGATAGCAAAATAAGAAGAGAAAAAAAAATTACGACCGAGAATTTATGCGGAAAATTTCTTAAATGAACGGAAGAAGAGAGAGTTAGGAGTGAAGAGAGGTGCTTTTACGCATAGTGGTGAACAAAGGTCCAAGAACTACTTGCTGAAGC